CTTCGAAGTGTAGAAATTTTTGAAAAAGACAAGATCCCAGTTGTTGATTCTATGAAGTATTTCCCATGCAGTTTGGTTTTTGTTCATGAACTCTCTACTTACCTCAATGTCTTTAAGATTTCTACTTACGTTTCCTCTAGAGGATTTAGTGTTTCTGTTTTAATATTTAAATCTTTGATCCATTTTGACAGTAGCTTTGTGCATGGTGATAGACATGGGTCTAGTTTTAGTCTTTGGCATGTGGAAAGTCAGTTTTTATAGCACCATTTATTAAAGAGGCTATCTTTCTTCCAGTAAGCCTGTTTAGATGCTTTATCAAAGATAAGGTGACCGAGTGTGTTTGTAGTTGTTTCTGCATTTTCTAAGCTGTTCCACTGATCCTCAGGTCTGTCTCTATGCCAGTATCATGTTTATTTTATCACAGTAGCTTTATAATATAGTTTCAGGTCAGGGATTGTTCCTTTGTTTCCCAGGATTGCTTTTGATATTCTAGGTCTCTTCTGATTCCAAGTGAATTTGAGGACAGTTTTCTCTAGCTCTGTGAGGTATACTAATGATATTTTAATCAGGATTGCATTGAATCTGTATAGAAATTTTTGTAGTATGGCCATTTTCACAATGTTCATTTTTCCTATCCAGGAGCATGAAATATTTTTCCATTTTTTCAAATCCTCTTCAAACTTTTTTTAGAGTGCCATAATTTTGCTGAATAAATCTTTTAAATACTTTGTGAGATTGATGCCTAAATATTTAATTTTTTGATGTTATTTTTGAAAGATGTGGTTTTCCTAATCCCTCACTCAGTGTGTTCATTCTTTGTGTACAAAAATGGTACTAATTTTTGAGTGTTGACTTTGTACCCTGCTATGTCGCTGAATTTGGTGATTAAATGTCTGATTGTTATCTTTGGTTGGTACTTGTGACAGTTTTTTGTAATCTTTTCTAATAGATGTTTTATGTGTACCTTGAGAGTAGCTTAACCTATATATTTAAGAGGCAGTATTTATAGTCTATTGCTTAGTTTTGCTCATGCATGAAGTTGTTTGATCACCACAAGTGTCCACTTTGTTTTCCCTTGCATCAGTTTCACTGTTCTTCAGATAACAGTCTCTTAGGTATTCTATAGCTTCTTAGTGGACAGAGTACCCAGGTGAAGTGGGCCACACAAAAATGGAGTGAGATGCATTTCACTCTTTAACTGAAGCCATTACATCCAGGCTCAGATTCTTGTGAGTGAGCTACTAATTGTGAAAGAAATTAATTTATTTGTTTATAGCCAAATGAATCTCTAGATGCAGCAAAAACATGACTGTAATTTAAAACTGTTGTTATAGTGAACTTCTACACTCAAACAAAGCAGGTACAGTTATGTTAACAAATTACTAGCATATATTCAATATTCCAATGGCTAAACATGTGCAAAACATTTTTATGATAAATTTTTCTGAGCTTAGCATATTTTATTGCATTGAATTTTGTTGCCTTTATACCCCATTCTTTTCCCTTTTTTTGCTTTTCATTGTGTTTTGTTCTTTTGTATAATTTTGTTTTATAGTCATATACTATTAAGAGACATTGAGAATGTTGCTTGCATTGTCTTTTTCTCCTTAGATAAAGTATGATCCTTATCAAAGCAGGAGAAATGAAAGTAAAAGAGAAAAATGAGAAACAAATTAACTATCCCTACTCAATAAGCAGTTGAACAGGTAGATGGCTTCTAAGTGATCCCATGATAGTATGAAAGCAAAAGATAAAAGAAAAAGTATGTAGAGAAACACTGCACCCACTCATGTTAGCATTGGACAGTAAAGGACCTCTGGGCTAAAAAGATCTAACCTTGACCTCACTGGAGACTTACCAGGGTATTCTCTGGTTCTCTATGTAACCTTACCAGGATAAATGACAAGTTGGATGCCCTTGTTCCTTTTTAGGCTTTGCAAGGATGATCCTTTTTGCTGATTTGTATCTCCAAGTTTCTTGTTCCAGTTTCATTACTTTCGGTGCTGTCTCACTGTTTCTTTGCCTGTCATGTGAACGTTACTTGTTGCAGTAGGAAGATGTGGCTGTGTACAAGATGAAAATAATTACTTAGAGACAAGATTTAGTTCCATCTGAGAAACCCAGAGTGACTGCTTATGTTCAGGAGAGAGAACTTCAGGGACTCTCAGACCATTGCTGTGGTTTATTTATATCTTAAGGTAGTCAGAACAAAGAAATAGAAGCAAACACTTTTGCAGGAGTTTTGGCCAAGGGATAGGGAGGGAGCAGGATGATTTGTTACTTATAATATGTCCATCCAGGATAGGCAAGCTTATTGGAAACTGTGCTAACACACTTACTAGGGTAAACATTTTCAAAAAAGAACTTGCTTTTATTTCTACTGATGTCCTTCAGATCTGCTCTAAACTTTACTCATTCCTTCCAGGAATCCTGAACTGTAGTCCAGAGAGTCCTTACCTCTTTCTCATTTGATTCAAATGCTCTCTGGGCCAGGATCTCCACATGAGTTCATCAATCTATGATTTTTCATTGCAAATGTCATCCATAAGGTGAATAGATTCAATAGCAAACAAGTAGTGCAAGTGAATGCCAAATAAATCCTTAGAAAGTTTAGTATGTTGTTATGGTTTGTGTCTAGATGTTTCCCCAAATCTTCATGCAGTGATGGGGGTGGGCTTATCAGAGATGGCTGAATCTAGAGTTTGTGACTGATTCATGGTCCAGTGCTGGGATTAAGGGTGTGAGTGCTATATTTACACTAGGGCAGATAGCCTGCATACAGTGTAAGAGACAGGAAAGAGGGTTATCTACTCTCTCTCTCTCTCTCTCTCTCTCTCTCTCTCTCTCTCTCTCGCTCTCTCGCTCGCTCTCTCTCTCTCTCACTCTCTCTGTCTCCCTCACTACAGTCTCCCTGCCATGAATTGGTCTCCTCTGCCAAGCTATCTTGCCTTGGAGCAAGCCAATTACAGATTGAAATCTTTACAAATTGTGCGCTAAATAGACTTTCTCCTCTTTAACTTTGGGTGTATTTTATCTCAGTGACAAGAAAAAAATAACTAAGGAGAATTTGGTACCAGAGAAGTGGGAGTCATGGCTGTGACTATACTGACCATGTGGCTCAGGAGCTTTTGGAAATGGCTTGTGTGAAGAGTTTGGAAAGTTTTGAATGCTGACTGAAAAAGTAGCACTGGAATACTTTAGGCTGTACTGTATCAGGGACTCTGCTAAGAGCTGAGAAGACCAGAAAGCTGGCAAAGACCAGGCTCAGGAGATTTCTACTGGTAAGGGTTGAATTCACTGCTGGACTCCAGATGATGTGTGTTATGCCTTGGCAAAAAGTTTGCCTACATTTTGCTCAAGTCCAGAGACTTTGACTAAGACCAGGGGCAGTGGACTAACTAATCCTGCAGAAGAAATTTCAAGACAATCTGTTCAGGTAGTGGCATGGCTACTGTTGGAAGCTTTTAGCCAGATGTTGAGAATCAAGAGCAAATAATCTAGCAGATTGATTCAAGACATTGTGAATTTAGCTGGACAGGAAGCTCCAGGAAAATTGTGACCTTCAAAGATAGAACAGAGGAGAAACTGGTCACTGAAAAGACTAGCAAGAAAAGCCAAGTATTTCAGAAGACAACAGAAAAGATGGCCCAAGGGATCACAAGAAATGGAAGAACTTATCTCACTATTTGGAGCCTCAGATTTGCAGAAGTGAGACTGTTTTGAGAACAAAGTGCCAGAGCACCATGCTTCAGAATGGTGGCAGCCCAGAGAATTTGTTCCTCAGAATTGGATTCAGAGTTGTCAGTGATCCAGGCATTCAATCCAGCTGGCAGCAGACGTGGCACTGGTCTTCATGTGGCCCAGGTTTTAGATGCATATAGAATACAGGGGTTTTGGTATCAGGAAGTCCTCCAACCAGATTTCACAAGGCCTGTGAGACCAAGCAATGTACCCCTGAGAGTAGAGCATGTGAAGTTGTGAGGGCAAAGCTGAAGATGCATGTGAAACACCAGAATTTTGGAAAAGCCAGGGACATGGATTGTCTGAGGAAAACTGCAAAGAGCGAACAGAGCAGATCAAGAGAGGAGCCATGGGTCATACAGCCACCAGAAGCGCTGTAGGGGCAGAGCCACCCAAATCCTTTGGTGTTTACAGCTTGCCACAGATTGGTGGGGATGCTGCAATGGGATCTGTGGGATTTAATGTTTGCCCTGCTAGACTTTGGGATTGCTTTGGTCTCATTCTTTTGTATGCCTATTGTAACTTTTGGAATGGAAAAATAAATGAAATGTGTATATTATGCCATTTAATGTTGGAAGTGTTTAACTTTCTTTTCATTTGTACAGGAGCTCACAGCTAAGAATATGCCTTAAATCTCAGGGAGACCTTAGACTTGGACTTTCAGCAATGTTGGAACTGTTAGGACTTTGACAATTCTTGGAGATGGATTAAATGCCTTTTGTATAAAGGGATGTGCCTAAGCCTTGCAGGAACCAGGGGCAGAATACTTTCATTTGTGTTTAAATATCCCCTAAAGCCTTTTCAGAGGTGGCTGAATCTAGAATGTGTGATGCTGGGATTCAGGGTGTATGATAAACTCACTCATTGGTTTGGCACCACCCTAATCCCAACAGCCTAGATAGGGTAAAAAAGGGTCAAAGAGATACTGTTAAGGTTGATTGTTTTTTGCTATCTTCTGCTCACCATGAACAGTTCTCTGCAAAGCCAACTTACCTTGGAGCCAGCTGATTATGTATTGAAACCTCTAGAAACTGTGAGCTAAATAAACCTTTCTTCCCTTAACTTTGGATGTCAGATATCTCATCTCAGCAGTGAGGGAACATTAAGACATCTGTGTTTTGGGCAGAGCAGCCAAGTGTGTGGCATCGGTGGATACTGTGATCACTGATCTTGGCTTTGAGGACATAACTTTTTTCCTCCAGTAGTAAAGGAATCTATACTCATCTTTGTCCTGCTTTCTCACTATGCTTCTCCTCTAGGCTGCACCTATGAGGGAAACACCTACAACAGCTCCTTCGAGTGGCAGAGCCCAGCCAAGCCCTGTGTCCTGCACCAGTGCCAGGTAAAGTCCAGTGAAAACAGCCCAGAGGGACTTAGGGCCAACTCAGAGTGAAAACCAAGCAGATAACTAAACTGAAGACCAAATTCAAACCTCGTTGCATCCTTGTGGTTTATTATGACAGTCACCATAACAAGACAGGTGCAGGGTGGATACTGTGTCAGACTTGTTTCTAGAAACACAGAAGGGTGCGCTGCCACTGTAAACTGTGCCTGGAAAAGCTCCAGGAAGATGTATATGTCCTTGGGGAAAATACATGTCTTCCTGTGAAATCATCTTTGAGCACAACACAAGTTCCTGTTAGCAGAAAGGAGGCATTGTTAGACAAGACGTGTTTTCCTTCTTTGATTTAGAAAGTTCTTGAGCAGAAGCCAGGCTGTAAACTGTCTTAAATTGAAGTAATTAGCACACGGTAACTTCAGTGATTTCAGCCTGATGAATCTCAGCACCGCCAGTCAGCATCTAAGGAGCCCATTGTGCCTGGTCCTCGTGGACAGCAGCAGTGACCTCACACAGCTCTGATGGCCGCAGGCACAGAACACAGCAGGATGGACCAAAGGGGCAGTGAAGAACCAAGACTCGAACTCCTTTCCTTAGCTCTCGGGAAGTACCTGTTTAAAGAATAGCAGTCACCTAATTTTCACACTACTTCAAAATCCTTCTCTGCAGAGGAGGTGCTGTGAAATCCTTTTATCCCAGACTCCATTTAAATATCTGAGCCTTCCATGTGCACGTGAAGGAAGGTGGAAGGTGGCCACAGTGGGTATTTCTCTTCCATCTCATCTCAAGCACAGTGACACGTGGTATACTCAAATCTGTATTTTACATCATCATTTTCTCATCTACAGTAAATATTCAGTTGCTCATTGAATTCAATAGCTTATTTGTGCAGTGAGTCTGTTATTTATGAAAATAAGTAATAGGTAAAATAGTTATAAACAATAGATTCACAGAATCAAATTTGATTTTTTTTACTCCATATTATAAATGTGGTCAGCCTCCTGGCATAAAGAAACAAGAACAATGACTTTTAATAACACCAGAGGCCCCTGAACTTTCCAAAATTTGCACTCCTCTATTTCTTCTCTGTCTTTATTTTCCTTTCAGTATTGGGGATTGAGCACAGGGACTCACACATGGTAGACTAATGTTGGACCTCCCTATTGCTGAGCTAAGTTACCAGCCTTTTTTGTTTTTTTAAGACAGGATCTTCTAAGTTACCTACACTGGCTTCATTTTCTGGTCCTCCCGAGTAGCTGGACTGTGGGTGTGAGCCACTGTGCTCAGCTTACCTTGGTCTTTCTTCAGATCACATAAGTTATTCTCCTTTTGCTCTGCTTCTTGGTCAGTGAAATTTCTACTCAGGAGCATCTGAAAGCCATGGCTCCAGTATTTGTTAAAAAAGAGGACCACATGCCCTTTGGGATCCGGGATCTCATTCCCATAAGCAACCAGAGGTCCTGAGCATCCACAAGTTACTTGGGCCAGGGTCACTTTTACTGCCTCTGTGTGAAGACATTATTACATTAAATACAAACTACCATGCAACAGGGAATACTTTGTTGCCTGATAAACACCTTAAGCTATTACAGTGGCTAACACTGAAACTCCTGCTGCTTGTCATCTTTGGTCACTGACACACAGCCAAGAAAGAATTGACTCAGGAATACCAAACTATTACCTGAAAAATCAGGAAAATGAAACTGCAGAGTGGGGCTCAGAAAGGGGAAGTCACCTGCCAAAGATGAACCTCACCTTTCCTTCTTCCTCCTGTGCTAAAACGTCCCCTGAGCCCCGCTAGCTAGGAAGGGGCTGTTCCCTTCAAGAAGAGCAAAATTCTGTGCAGGTGGGCACAGAAAGGTGCACCTTTTTCCACCAGCACCTTCCCACTTCTGCCTTCTGCTTCCTTCTTTAGGAGGATGCAGGAAATGACCTTTCACTCGCACCTGCTGGGCAAGTCTGTTCTCTCCAGGAATGGTGACTGCAGTCTCTCTCCAGCTCTTCTGAGGGTGGGAGGTCAGTAACAGGGGACAGTGCCAGGTGGACAGTGAAACATGGGCTGTACTTCTCACATATTAGTTGTGTAACCTCTCTGCGCCTCTGTCACTCTCCATAAAATGGGATGAGAAGGAGCTCATTGAAAGTTGCAAGCAGTAAGTGAGATTCTCATTAAAAATGCTTCAGAGAGCCACTTGCCTTTCATGAGTATGTTCAGGAATTGAACAGATGCCAGCAAGCCCAATGATCTGGTCTCTTCCCACTTGCCATGTAATTCCATGTTCTTATATCCTCCAATAAAAGGAATTCTTGTGAAAATTTTACCTGTATTTTTCTACATTTTATTTCTTCATGGACAAGGATGATCTCAAGACCACAGAAAAGAAGTTCATATTGAGAACCAGACAAGCATCCATCTGGATTGGAAATACTGGAGGAAAATTGACTCTAGACCTTAGCTTTCTGCAGTTAGGTTGCCAAGTGTAGGTTTTTTTACTGATGCTGTGTATTGACAATATTTTGTATTTTTCTCCCAAATGTGATCCAGGACACAATAAATTCCCTGGTGGTGGAGACCTGAAGCCTGGGATATAGTTATTTAAGATATAGTCCTTTTGGTAGGGTAGATACAATAGTAGCAGGCACAATAAAAGAAGTAGTCTCATTGTAAATTGTTAGCTCTGTTTTTAGTTTGTTGTACTCTCCCTTCCAAACAAAATAAAATACATCACACAAACAGAAAAGCACATTCATTTATGAAATGGGTAAAAATGTAAAGCAAACTCATCAAAGACCAACTCTGAAAATTAATTTTAGAACTAACTTGACATTAGGCTAGTATAATAGACCCAAGATCAGTTAACCTCTTGGCAGTTTGCAAATGACATTTGATTGCATGATTAAAACTTCAGAACTGTGCTTGATGTCTTCAGTATGAACTCAGAATTGGCTTTGTCCGGGCTCTTCCTTCAATGCTGGACAATTGGAGACTCAAGCTCTGACCGAGACCTAGAGATGTTTCTGAGACTGCAGAGTTGGTCTAGTTGTTTCTAGGAGGATAGAAGGGATTTATGTGGACCCAGGGACCTCGGGATGCCACTTAGGTCTCCCTGCTCCAGAGCTAATGCCTTGAGATACAAGAACAGTGATAGACAATACAGCCAGCATTGAAAATGTGAGCTGTGAGTGAGCATCTAGACTCTGCCAGCTATCAACAGGTGGCAAGAAAGTGTTAGAACTAGATTCAAAACAAAGAAAGCAGGCCCAGAGAGAGAATGCAAGGCCAGGAAAAAGGAGGAGGGGTGATAGTCCAAAGCATCAGTAGAGGTGAACAAGGGGATCTTAGCTCATTTGTGCTGAGTCCTCTGGGCCTGAGGCCTATTCCACTGTGTAGTTTTTAGGTTTGGGTTCTTCCATTTGGTTACTTTCTTGAAGTTTAGCTCCTTGGCAGGAGTGCTGGGCTGGCTGACTGTGCTGTCTTTTGCAGGAAGGCGTCGTCACAGAGTCCCAGGTGCGCTGTGTCGTTCACTGTAGAAACCCAGTGGAACACCCAGGAGCCTGCTGCCCCACCTGTCCAGGTAACATGCTCAGGAAGTGGGAGGCCAGGAGGCTCCTCAGCACAGGGCAAGACTTGAAATCTGTCTCTTGGAGATGGGCCATTGCTCTTTGCCAGCTGGATTTTCCTCACCGGGCCTCTGCACACCTAACAGCATTACAGGGCGCACTCCTCCTCCTTTGCAGGGCTCTGAACTGGCCTGAACCTTCTCACTTCCTGTCCTGAAGGGCATGGCAAGGGCATGCTGGGCATGAGGGCAGTGTGCTGTGGGTCTTGGCCGGTGGCTTCTCTGGGCCTGGAGGCCTGCTTTCCACTCCTACATCCACGGTGGCTTCCCTTTGCCTCCAACAGTGTCTTCACCACTTCATACTGTGGAGCCTTTCCTGGAGCTTGCCCTGATGAGGCAACCAGATGCTTCTGGCAATGGAGAGGTCTGTGCCATGTGAATTTAGCTAAGGGTTTTGCTGGTGTTCTCCTTGTGGCTTTACAAGTAGGGCCCACCCTTGTAGAGAGGCCCCTGTCCAGCTGACAGTGAAGAACTCTTCATTTTCCAGCCACCAAACCTTTGCTCCCACTTTCCCTCAGGGACTGCAGAGGCCTCCTGCAGCTCCGCTTGCCCTTTGCCACAAGCCTGGGGATTCTGTGGTGAACATTTTTCTGATCTGTTGGTGCTGATCATCTTGGACAGGTATTCTGTGTTTGGGGTTTTCTCCGAGTGCTCGTCCTCCCTGGTAACTCTAGGATCACTACTCTGCTTTGCAGGGTGATCCTGAGGTGCTTCTGCTCTTTGATCCTCCTGTGAAGGGGTGAAGGTCCTGGGGGTCTGCTATAGACATGAGCCCCTCTGTGTGGTAGACCCTATTCTTTCCCAGAATTCAGTCCTTTCTTGTCCTTGAATGAGGAGGACAGACAGTCCCCGCCTCTTCTGAATTCTTCATGTCCTGCGCAGTCTTTGTTCAGCTTCCTTTCATGCTGGTATTTCCATGCAGCTTGTACTGTTGATGAGCTCATATGAAAGCCACAAACTGGATAAAATCACACTGATTCTCCCTGTAATCCCATTATTTTGCGTGTGTCCCATGGTCTGCCCAGTGCCTTTCCCCTCTGATGCACTGAATGTTTCAAATCAGGTCACCATGTCCTTGGATGTCAGTGGGATCTTTACCAAGCGGAAGAGTGGCTCCCTTGGACTGCACCCTGGAATTTCCCAGGAAGCTGTGGTGCTGCGTCCTGTACCCAGCTGCAGCTCAGCCCAAGTTCATAGAACCTGGGTGGAGGGACCGAGCCTCCCTGCTGATTTCCATACGTGGCCAAACTGGAGATGGATAGAGGAGAAAACTTTGTCATACAGATTGAAGGTGATCTTAGTTCTTAACTATGGGAGTTAAGCTGTATTGAGCAGGTAGCTGCACTAGAGATACAAAATCCACTCAAAGATTCCTGCTCCCAGCCATTAAAACACAACATCTCTCCCTGTGGGTAGCATTCTCTTACTCAAGGAGGTGTATCCAGGCTGCCTGTGTAACAGGGCTGCAAACAGCAGCACGATTTACCTTAGCAGCTGAAGTCTCCTGTGTGAGCCCTTTTCTTTGCTCCATGTTTTGGTTGAGTTTGCAGGAAGGAAAGGGCCAATCTCCATGGCCACACACGGTATGGTCCTGAGTCTTCACTGCTGTCCAGAGAGGGTTGAGGTGTCAGTCACAGCAGTGACAGCCGAGGTTCCGAGTGAGGAAGGACCAGAGGACCCCTTGCTCCTGTCTCTCACCCCACTGGATGTCACAGGAAGTGCCCAGCTCCATCCCATCCTTAAAAGCCAGTGATCCAGGGCCATGTGCCAGCCCACAACACCCAGGAGACTCTGTGCCCTAGGTTAGGAGGTCAGGATTGAACTTTGCCCCTTTGTCTCAGTTCTAAGGAGAGCATTTGGGATGCAAGTGGGAGGCTCAGAAGGAGTTGCCTGCAGAGTTCATCACCCTTGGTCATGGGAGACTGTCCACTGAGCCTCAATGGGGACACTCGGGAGGCATCGGCCTCATCCCTGGGATCCAGAGGGACAGTGTGTCTCACTGACCAGGACAAGGCATTGCATATGACTGCAACCATGCCCAGTCTGTGGTCAGTTTCTTCTGGAAACTGATTTGAGTGTTTCTGCTCCTCTCCTCTTTCCCCTCTCTGACTCTTTGCTCAAGGATGGTGAGTTGTCATGGGAACCATTGAACAGAATTTTCACTGAAAATCCCTCCCCTGACCTCAGTGTCACAGTGGATTGCTATGATTAGTCTGTCTGGCAATCTGGATGACAAATTCAGAGGTGTAAACACAAACGAAAGGACTGGAGACACTGTTCGACATGTCCTTGGTAGGTAGGTGACTGGTGATCTGCCATTTATGAACAGCACTGAGACACAGCCAACAGGGATTATGCTTACCATGTTTTCTGTGTTGCGAGAACAGTGGCAGGTGGCTGGCGCTGGCTTTGAATATTAGTGTCAGAGAGATCTTATTTCTGGAGCAGTTTTAAAATTCACATTTACTTACACATTGGGCTTCAGACTCAGCAGTACTTGGCTACACAACTTTCTGTTGAGCAGAAGACAGTGCCCAGCTTTAAGACAGGCAGATGGGGCAGTGCCAGTCCTCATCAGGAACCAGGTGCTCCAAGAGTGGGGGCTTCTGCTGACAGCTTTAGCTGATGGGCCTGGGGCACATCTGTGTCCTGCATAAGAGCCTGTTGGCAGCTCACTGTCCAGCACTGACCCCGCCCCTGGCAAGTGCCTTGTGAGAATGGTTCTGATAAAGGTGGTTTTGCTGGTAACCCACAACCTCCATGGCCAAGAGGACACAGTCACTAGCCAGACTGTATTGCAGGTCACTCGTGATATCACCTTAGAATGTGGTAGTGAGCTGAGCATCTTTCCGACCAGCAGACATATCCTGGGATTTGGTCCTTTCTTCGGCCAGATTTGGTAGGGCCCAGCGCTTGATCACAGCCTGATGGGACCCCACCTCTGTACCTTCTTGCCTTTTACCAGGTTTGCTCCATAGTGGAAAGGGAGGCTCAGAACAGTTTTAATCCCAGCTCGGCCACCTGCAAGCAGGGCAAATGACTTTCCCTGAGAGCCATGTTTATCTCAACTGGGGAGAAAGGGATGGCTTCCATGCTCTGGAAGGCTGCTGTGGAGGTGAGGGATCAGGTGTGCAGGGTAGAAACTGGCAGTCCTTGGCTGCATCTGCCCTTGATCCCATGGTCGCTCTCTCCCTGTTCTCTCTTAGCCTCCACTGATTCCCTTGGGGTTTGGGTCCCAGCAGTGGACAATCATGACAACCCAGGGGCACAGGGTGGGGATCCCTGCAGTATGTTTACATTATATCCACAGGCTGACTCGGGCTCCCCTGAACTTTCTGGCACTTTGGGGTTTTCTGGGCCTAGGTCAGCATCTTGTTCTTTGCATGCTCTATTTTACCGTGCAAGTGCTGTCCTCCGACCAAAGAGGACCCCGTTGGATGGCTAGGGTGCAGGTGGGTGGATGGGTGACATGCAGGGCTGGGAGGACCTTGTCTCAAGGAAGCTGCTCCTGCCTGGTTCTGAACTCTGCTTTGCTTTCCAGGCTGCCTGTTTGAAGGTGTGCAGTACCGAGAGGGAGATGAGTTTCGACCAGAAGGGAGCAAGTGCACCAAGTGTTCCTGCCGCGTAAGTCCTGTGTGGATGGCCCCATGGTCCCCAGGCTCATGGCTTTCACTTTTCCCTGAGCTGCTGTCCCAGACTGGGTACTACAGACACTGGGCTGGCCATCCTCATGGTGGAGCTGGCATTGCTGTGCAGGATGTGCAGTAGCAGTCTGGCCTCTATCTTTAGTTCCATCTACAGTCAGCAGGGTCAGCAGGAATTGCCCGGGTCCCCTGCAGAACAACCTGGCTTCCTGCCAAGAATCACTGCTCCAAAGCATGAGAGCGTGGTCTATACTCCTTAGCTGCCCCCTTTTGGAAATTCTGTGGATTCTTGATTCTTGGGACAGAGAGGCTTTCTGCTGAAACAGCCCTTGTTTTTGTTGCTATTAAATGGGAAGCAAGGGGTGGGTATTTGTAGGGGATAGATAGAAAGAAATCACCCTTAAACACTGGTTCCAGGGCATAGCAAGGAGAGGAGAAATTTGGCCTGCATAACAATTTTAAAGGGATCTTTTATTGATGTATTTAAATTTGGAGAGCAATCACTAGTAGTAGTAGTGGTGGTGGTAGTTATAGAGTGTGGTCTTATGTGGCGGCCCCACTTTACATACAGTAGGGAGTTGATATAGTCATAGTTTTGGCTTTTCTAATAAACAACACACATTTTCCAAGTCACTTGTAACTCAGTACTCATCTTAGAGTAGTAAAAAGGAGATACATGGCAAACTGAAACATCTTAATTTCAAAGCAGTAGTCAGAGGTCATCATAATACATGGCACCTGGCATTTCTCTGCCTTTCCCACCCTTTCAGCACAGACCCTCTGTCCTAGAGTCCAGGGTAAAGCCCTGAGGCAGAGGCTTACAGTGATTGTATGGAGGATGGGAGGGAAAGAGAGGGAAGGAGAGAGGGTGGGGTGTTGTGCATCTCAATATAAAACACAGAGTCTATGTAACATATTAAAACACAAAAGGAATTTACTAATGAAAGTGAATGGAATGGCATATGTCAACTGAGCTTCCATGTTTTCTTGCTGTAAATAGCTTTATGTTACTTTCTATGTCCATGATTGCTATTATTGCCCATGTCCCATGTTATTTTCTTCCACATTGGTGGCTGTAACTTTTTCAGGTGATAATGATAATTATTATTATTATTTTAATAACCTCATTCTTTTGGGAGTGCCTTGAGGAAAACCCAAGTGGCTTTGGTAGGAGGTTCTGAGTGTGCCTGGATGACCTGTTCTCCTGACAGAGTTGTGCCGAGGCCTGCAGCTGATGCCCGCCTGGAGAAGGGAAGGCAGAGGTGGCCAGGAGGAGGCAATTCCTGTGGCTGTGCCCTGACCTTTCATGCCAGCAAGCTGGAAATGAGTTCGGGCATCACAGACTCAATACACTGAGGTGTTAAGGTTTCAGTTGTTTTTAAAGACTTGATGCCTCCCCAGAGAAGTGCACCTGGGGCTGGGCTCAGGCCTCTTTCATTTTCAGTGTAAAGTAAAATTCCAAGGGTGGTTCTTGGCCAGGCATTCCTCCTCCCCAGCTCTCTCTTGCAGACACAGTCTCTACCCTCTGCTCCAGGCGGAGAGTCCAACTTCTGGTGTTCCCATGATCCCAGTGTTCTTTCTGTTCTCCACTTAGTGCTCCTGATGTTGGTCTCCACACTTGGAGAGCAAAGGGGCCTGAGGATGGAGTTCCTGCTGGGAAATGGCCCTGTACCAGGCTCTGGCCTGGGCAGGGTCACAGCGCAGCCTTTCTCTTTATGAATACAGAGCTTTGAGGTGTAAGATCTCTTTTTGGAGTTTGTGATTGAATTAACTTGGTTTTAGATATTCTTACACTTTGCTGTCTCTTACTAGCAGTATCTTAGCAGTGAGGGCCCTGTCCTCAGGGGCAGCTCTATTGACATCCACCTGAGAGTGTCCAGTTCTAATGCACAGCTGGACTGTGTAGCACCAGGCACAAAATGGGCCAGGCTTGCTCAGCTGCAGACTGCGAGTTCTGGTGGGTCCAGTGTGTGGGGGGTGAGGCACTGCCCTGCTGAGCCAGAGCGCTGAGCTGGAGTGAAGAGGAGCATGAGGAGTCAGGTTCCCCATATGGAAGAGGATGCTGCACAGCAACCTTCCATGCTTTGATAGGAAGGAAAACACTAATGTGGTAGAGAGAGATGTAATCACACCTGTGTCTTGGAGCAGGATAGTTGTCCCTCAGTGTCTACTAGGAATTGGCGTCAGGACCCATCATGACACCAGTACCCTCAAATGATCAAGTCCCTATCTGAAATCTGTCATTCGTGTGTAGCTTGCACACGTCCCTCTGTTAGACTTTAAATCACCTCTAGATTGCTGTAGCACCTCAGTCAGCACAGAGGATATGTATTTGTCATGCTCTATTGTTAGGAAACAATGACAAGGAAAAGAATCTATATACTCATTATAGAAATGATTGTTTCCCAAATGTTTTCAGTTGGTGAGTGGTTGAATCCATAATGTGGAATCCACAGATATGGAAGCCATTTGCAATTTTTTTTGTCTTTTTGAGACAGGGTGTCACTATGCATCTCAGCCTGGATTCGAGTTCATTTTGTAGCACAGGCTGGTTTAAAACTCAAAAGGATCCTCCTGCCTCAGCCTTCTGAGTGCTGGGATTACAAGTGTGCACCACCATGCCTGGCGCCAATTGCATTTCTATGGGTCTGTATTTACGTGTACATATGTCAATGAGTGTGTGTACATATATATGTTCATATATACTAGAGACGATTGAAATATATGGTGAATACTTAAATTACAGAAACAGTAAAAGACACATTGCCATCAATCCTGTTCACAATACTGCCTCTCTTCAGACACACTGATCCCATCATTCTTGCTACTTTCTGATGCAGCTCTGGAAGTCCTCTTTCTTCAGTGTCTTTATGAGTGTGCACATCAGCATGGTATATGCTACTGCCAAGTGCCAAAAAAAAAAAAGAGGATGTGTTCTCATCTATCTTATTCATCGCATCAGGTACTGTGTGACTTGCAGTTGTTTCCCAAAGTCAAAATAATCATGAAAGGGAAAGGTTGAGTTGATTCAGGATGTTGAGGCAGCCAACACAGAGCAACTAAAACTCAGGAAAAGACTTGCAGAACTGCTTCAAAAAGTGGCAAAATGTTCAAAGTGAGGGGTAATAGAGGGGATTAAAGGCAATGTGTCTTTTGCATAGATTTTAAAAACTTTTTGAAACATTTATTGTACATTTTGATTATAACTCCTACAAATATATATATGGGCCTGTATTTACATATACATATGTCAGTGAGTGTATGTGTATAACTATATAAACATTTAAACATAAATACATAAAACGTATATGCATGTATATATAACTATAAATACACATACACACATTAGTATGTCTAAGCTGGATTCCTTCAGGCACAGATCCTGCTTGCATGTGAGTATTTTATAGAGGGACTGAGAGAAAGACAGTTTAGCGGAGAGCAGGCAGGAGCCGCCAGCTGAAGGTGTGTCACCCAGTGCTGTGGTCCAGTGTCCTCCACCATGTTGAACCTTAGGTGCTACTGAGGGAGCGTCAAGAGGTGAGCCCTTGAGGAGGTGATGAGGCCTTAAGCATCTGCACTCGAGTGAGTGGGGTCCATCCTCTCAAAGGCTGGAGGGAGGAGTCTGACCTACAACACAGCAGCAGGTGCCAACTTGAGAGAGAAGAGCAGCGCTCCCAGACACCAGGTTGGCTGGCGCTCTTGTCTTGGACTTATCAGCCTGCAGAACCATGAGAAAGCAGTTTCTATTCTTCATAAATCACTGGGGTGTCATGTTCTGTCATAGCAGCACACGTAGATCAAGGCACTGACTGCGTCATGACTATGGGCAGCCTGGCCTTCTTCCTGCTGGGCAAACCCTGGAGACCTGGGCAGAACTCTGGCCCCTGAAGTCTCCCACCTGAGAGGGGAGAGATCTGAGACAAGTGTTCACCACCACCCCTTACACCTTTGGAGGGCTGCTCTTAGGGGCTTCTGGTTGGGTGACATGTATACACGTGTGCATGAACACAGACCACTTCCAGATGAACTCCCATGACAGTTCTTAGGCTGTCTCCTGTTCTCTGTGCTGGTGTGGAAGGGGCCTGGCCTTTCTCTGCCCATCCTGCTGTGCTCAGGGTGAGCCCGTGACCCCTGAATGAAAGACCCCTCCTGCTCCCCTTGTCAGTGCACATAATGTGCTGTGTCCACACTGGGATGACTCTGCTCTCTCCTACCAGCCAGCTGTTCCTGTGTGGGGATTACAGTGGTGAGGCTCTGTCCTCTCTAGCCTGCTCCAGACCGTGGCCTGGAGTGTGGGCAGTGCACCTACTGTACCTTATCTGCTCATAGGGACCCTGATTGTCCAGTGTGCTCTACTCTCAAGAAAATACTGTCAGTACTATGTAGCTTCAGTTTTTAAATCCAACCCTCTTCTTTACAAAACTCCACATTTATGAGAATCTGTCTGACTATTTTTTGTGAGGTAGCCATAGAGTGGCCACTTGGTCTTGTCGAGAGGGTGCCTTAGCTAATGACCCAAATGCCTTAATGTGCGTGTGTGTTGTCCTGAGTTTAGTGGGGACAGTGCACAGCATCCCAGACGTCTGAGGACACGCTGACCTTGGTGAGAGCGCAGAGGACCCTGCAGTGTCCTGCTCCTGCCCAGGCCGGCAGCACAGTGCTGACATTTGCTGTGAATTTCATGGAGACTCACTTAGGAAACGCAGAGATTCATTATCGCTTGTTAAACCACATCATTGCCATTTACACATTGTAGAAATATAAGAACCCAGAGGAATTCTTCTCGTTGCGCTGTCTGTGTCAAATTAGAGGATGTTAGGGGATGCGACAGGGGAGTGAGCACAGTATTAGTTTAAAACAGAAAGATGTGAAACTGTTTCATTGCTATTTTTTTCTCATGAAAATGAACAAAATTTTAAAAAAATTAAACAAAAAAAAATGAGTCTTTGTAACCGAAGAATGCTCTTTAAAAGCACACAA